AACTGGCTCCTGGAGTTCAACCCCACCAAGTGCAAAGTCATGAAAATTGGGGGAAGGGCAAAGAGGATCACAGACGGATTACAGTCTAGGGGGCCAGAGACTACAAACCTCACTTAAGAAAAAGGATCTAGGGGTGAGTATAACACCGGGCACATCTCCTGAGGCACACATCAACCAAATAACTGCTGCAGCATACGGGCACCTAGCAAACCTAAGAGTAGCATTCCGACATCTCAATGAGGAATCATAATTGTTCAGAACCCTGTACACCGTTACGTTGGGCTTATATTGGAGTATGCAGCACCAGTTTGGAATCCACACCTAGCTAAGCACGAAAAGAAATTAGAGAAAGTGCAAAGGTTTGCAACAAGACCAGTCCCGGAGCTAAGGGGCATGTCCTACGTGGAGGGTTAAGGTAAATCGACCTGATGACAGTGGAGAACAGGAGAGATAGGGGGGATATGGTAATGACATAAAATACTGAGAGGAATTGAGAAGGTGGACAGAGGCAGGATGTTCCAGAGATGGGGCACAGCAACAAGGGGTCACAGTTGGAAGCTGAAGACTCAGATGAATCACAAGGATTGTTAGAAAGGATTTCTTCAGTCACAGATTTGTCAGGAAGTGATATAGTCTGGGAAGTGATGTAGTGGAGGCAGGATCCATACATAGTTTTATGAAGAGGTATGATAAAGTTCATGGAGCAGGAGGAGTGACCTAGTAGCAGCCAGTGAAGAGGAGGGGCTAGGAGCTAGTGGAGGGGAAAGCAGGAAGGCCGGGGTGAATGAAGCCAAACTACAAGAAAGGGGACTACACGGGAATGAGGAACTTCCTGAACGGGGTTCAGTGGGAAGAACTGGCAGGGAAGCCAGTAAATGAGATGATGGAATATGTAACAACAATATGCAAGGAAGCTGAGGAGAGGTTTGTACCCAAGGGTAACAGGAATAATGAAAAAGCCAGGATGAGCCCATGGTTCACCCAAAGGTGCAGGGAGGCAAAAACCAAGTGTGCTAGGGAATGGAAGAAGTATAGAAGGCAAAGGACCCAGGAGAATAAGGAGAGCAGTCGCAGAGCCAGAAATGAATATGCACAGATAAGAAGGGAGGCCCAACGACAATATGAAAACAACATAGCAGCGAAAGCCAAATCTGACCCGAAGCTGTTGTACAGCCACATCAGAAGGAAAACAACAGTCAAGGATCAGGTAATCAGGCTAAAGAAGGAAGGAGAGACAACAAGAAATGACCGTGAAGTATGTGAGGAACTCAACATGAGATTCAAAGAAGTGTTCATAGAGGAGACAGAAGGGGCTCCAGAAAGACGGAGAGGTAGGGTACACCACCAAGTGATGGACACAGTACACACAACCAAGGAAGAAGTGAAGAGGCTTCTGAGTGAGCTAGATACCTCAAAGGCAATGGGGCCAGATAACATTTCTCCATTGGTCCTAAGAGAGTGAGCAGAGGCGCTATGTGTACTCCTAACAACAATATTCAATAAATCTATCGAAACAGGGAGATTGCCTGAGGCATGGAAGACAGCAAATGTAGTCCCAATTTTTAAAAGAGGAGACAGACATGAAGCATTAAACTACAGACCAGTGTCACTGACATGTATAATATGCAAGGTCATGGAGAAGATTATCAGGAGAAGAGTGGTGGAACACCTAGAAAGAAATGATCTCATCAACAGCAGCCAACATGGTTTCAGGGACGGGAAATCCTGTGTCACAAACCTACTGGAGTTCTATGACATGGTGACAGCAGTAAGACAAGAGAGAGAGGGGTGGGTAGATTGCATTTTCTTGGACTGTAAGAAGGCATTTGACACAGTTCCACACAAGAGATTAGTGCAAAAACTGGAGGACCAGGCAGGGATAACAGGGAAGCACTACAATAGATCAGGGAATACTTGTCAGGAAGACAGCAGCAAGTCATGGTACGTCGCGAGGTGTCAGAGTGGGTGCCTGTGACCAGTGGGGTCCCACAGGGGTCAGTCCTAGGGCCAGTGATGTTTCTGGTATTTGTGAATGACATGACAGAAGGAATAGACTCCGAAGTGTACCCATTTGCAGATGACGTGAAGTTGATGAGAAGAATTCATTCGGTCGAAGACCCGGCAGAACTACAAAGGGATCTGGACAGGCTGCAGACCTGGTCCAGCAATTGGCTTCTGGAGTTCAACCCCACCAAGTGCAAAGCCATGAAGATTGGAGAAGGGCAAAGAAGACCGCAGACAGAGTACAGTCTAGGGGGCCAGAGACTACAAACCTCACTCAAGGAAAAAGATCTTGGGGTGAGTATAACACCAGGCACATCTCCTGTGGCACACATCAACCAAATAACTGCTGCAGCATATGGGCGCCTAGCAAACCTCTGAACAGCATTCCGACATCTTAATAAGGAATCGTTCAGGACCCTGTACACTGTGTACATTAGGCCCATATTAGAGTATGCGGCACCAGTTTGGAACCCACACCTAGCCAAGCACATAAAGAAACTAGAGAAAGTGCAAAGGTTTGCAACAAGACTAGTCCCAGAGCTAAGGGTATGTCCTACGAGGAGAGGTTAAGGAAAATCGACCTGATGACACTGGAGGACAGGAGAAATAGGGGGGACATGATAACGACATACAAAATACTGAGAGGAATTGACAAGGTGGACAAAGACAGGATGTTCCAGAGATGGGACACAGCAACAAGGGGACACAGATGAATCACAGGGATGTTAGGAAGTATTTCTTTAGCCACAGAGTAGTCAGGAAGTGGAATAGTTTGGGAAGCGATGTAGTGGAGGCAGGATCCATACATAGCTTTAAGCAGAGGTATGATAAAGCTCACGGTTCAGGGAGAGTGACCTAGTAGCGACCAGTGAAGAGGCAGGGCCAGGAGCTAGGACTTGATCCCTGCAACCTCAACTAGGTGAGTACACACATGCATGCACGCATGCACACGCATGCGCACACACGCACACGCACACACACACAGAAACGAATATGCACAGATAAGAAGGGAGGCTCAGAGACAATATGAAAATGACATAGCATCAAAAGTAAAGACTGACCCAAAGCTGTTGTACAGCCACATCAGGAGGAAAACAACAGTCAAGGACCAGGTAATCAGACTGAGGAAGAGTGATGGGGAATTCACAAGAAACGACCGAGAGGTATGTCAGGAGCTCAACACAAGATTTAAAGAGGTATTTACAGTGGAAACCAGTAGGACTCCAGGAAATCAGAACAGGGGGGCACACCAGCAAGTGCTGGATGAGGTACATATAACCAAGAGGAGGTGAAGAAGCTGCTATGCGAACTTGGACACCTCAAAGGGGTGGGACCAGACAACATCTCTCCATGAGTCCTTAAAGAGGGAGCAGAGATATTGTGTGAGCCATTAACAAAGATCTTCAAACATCATTTGAAACTGGGCAACTCCCTGAGGTATGGAAAATGGCAATGTAGTCCCAATTTTTAAAAAGGGAGACAGACATGAGGCCCTAAACTACAGACCTGTATCACTAACGTGTATAGTATGCAAGGTCATGGAGAAGATCATCAGGAGGAGAGTGGTGGAGCACCTGGAAAGAAACAAGTGTATAATTGACAACCAGCACGGTTTCAGGGAAGGAAAATCCTGTGTCACAAACCTACTAGAGTTTTATGACAAGGTGACAGAAGTAAGACAAGAGAGAGAAGGGTGGATCGACTGCATATTTTTGGACTGCAAGAAGGCCTTCGACACAGTTCCTCACAAGAGGTTACTGCAAAAGCTAGAGGATCAGGCACACATAACAGGAAAGGCACTGCAATGGATCAGAGAATACCTGACAGGGAGGCAACAACGAGTCATGGTACGTGACGAGGTGTCAGAGTGGGCGCCTGTGACAAGCGGGGTTCCACAGGGGTCAGTCCTAGGACCTGTGCTGTTCTTGGTATATGTGAACGACATAACGGAAGGGATAGACTCAGAAGTGTCCTTGTTGCAGATGATGCGAAGTTAATGAAAAGAATCAAATCGGATGAGGATCAGGCAGGACTACAAAGAGACCTGGACAGGCTACAAGCCTGGTCCAGCAACTGGCTCCTTGAATTTAACCCTGCCAAATGCAAAGTCATAAAGATTGGGGAAGGGCAAAGAAGACCGCAGACACAATATAGTTTAGATGGCCAGAGACTGCAAACCTCACTCAAGGAAAAAGATCTGGGGGTGAGTGTAACACCGAGCATATCTCCTGAGGCGCACATCAATCAGATAACTGCTGCAGCATACGGGCGCCTGGCAAACCTACGGATAGCGTTCCGATACCTCAGTAAGGATTCGTTTAAGACTCTGTATACCATTTACGTCAGGCCCATACTGGAGTATGCAGCACCAGTTTGGAATCCACACCTTGTCAAGCACGTCAAGAAATTAGAGAAAGTGCAAAGGTTTGCAACAAGACTAGTCCCAGAGCTATGGGGATTGTCCTACGAAGAAAGGTTGAGGGAAATCAGCCTGACGACACTGGAGGACAGGAGGGTCAGGGGAGACATGATAACGACACATAAAATACTGCGCGGAATAGACAAGGTAGACAAAGACGGGATGTTCCAGAGAAGGGACACAGACACAAGAGGTCACAATTGGAAGTTGAAGACTCAGATGAATCAAAGGGATGTTAGGAAGTATTTCTTCAGTCATAGAGTAGTCAGGCCATGGAATAGCCTAGAAAGTGACGTAGTGGAGGCGGGAACCATACATAGTTTTAAGGCGAGGTATGATAGAGCTCATGGGGCAGGGAGTGAGAGAGGACCTAGTAGCAATCAGCGAAGAGGCGGGGCCAGGAGCTGTGACTCGACCCCTGCAACCACAAATAGGTGAGTACACACACACACACACGCGCACACACACACATACACACGCACGCACGCACACACGCACGCACACACGCACGCACGATGTCAGGTGTCACTCACCTTCTGTAAACGAGTTAAATATCAAAGGTTCACCGTTAAAATACCTGCTCAGCTCCCACATCGAAATGAAGTCGTGCCAATCTCTCCTGCTGTTCTCTTATGGCTTCCATTTGTCGTAACCGAGAATCTTTCCCTGCAATTAAAAAGTTATATTTATGTATTCAGCTTTCAAATGCAGTACTTCCTCAGTTTTTCTTATCCACTGTCCTTTCTTTCCACAAAGATTTACTAACTTTAATGAACTGGTCATTAATGATGATACAGCAACCTCTTTGCTAAATGCAGCTTTTACTGTAAGATCTCCAGCATGTATAACCCCAAACTTTATCAATATCCTTTTACTGTACCTAGTTACATTACCTGTCTAAAGTTGTGGAGACATATTGCTTTGAACAGCAGGTTAAGCAAAGAAGTTGCCATCTGTTTGTACTAAGAAGAGGAATGAGTACAACAGTCAAGGTTCACAATAATTACACAAATAGAGCAAAAACCAAAGAAAAAAGAGAAATACATAAATAATACAAAATAATAAATGTCTATCAATATTAGGAGAAAGAAGAAATGTTAGAAAGATGAGAATTATGTGTAGAGATTTTCTTTAACAAAAAACCACAGTGAAGGTGATGCTGCCTACCCAAGAGAGACCAAAAGATATAAGAAAAATATGAACATAAAAAACAATTGATTGTTCAAGGAGATAAGGAAAATGAAAAAAATATATATATCAATCAAGTGGTGTTCATTGTATGATGCATGTAAACATAAAGGAGTATGAGAAGGTTAGCCACCCAAGGGCAATCCAGGTTTATGTTGAAGATGAAGCAAGGACTGTGCCAAATAGTCGAGAAAGAATTGTAATTCCGGTTATGGTATCGTGTCGATTCGACTTGCTTAAACACATGCCGAAACGAAAGGATGCCCATATGGTCTGGACATACAGAACATAGGATTAAAGGCAAGCTAGTAGGATCATGAAGATTCACCATCAGAGCAAATGGAGAAACACACCACACAAATCAGATGAGTCAGGAGAAGAGCAGAGAAATGATGATATTATACACACTGTGGAGAACTATACATGCTCTGCTTAGCAGGTCAACTTAAAGATAGAACAACAATGAAACAAGAAAGAACACTTAGCTGATTTTAGAATTTTGATATATACATGTACATACTGTATATTTATATTATTTACACAAGATCATATTATATACCACTTTTCTTTCTTGCTTCTTCTGACACTGATACTTTTATAAATGCTAAGGTCAAAACTATCTTCTCTTACCCATTTAAAATTAGCTATGTAAAATTTAATATTGTAAAACACTAAACAAAATATTTAAATTATTTTTCCTTCATGTACAAATATGCTAATGACACATAAAACATGCCACCAAAAGTTGCCTGTTTAGCTATCACTTACTTGAAGAAAGCCAACAAGGAGAGTCATATTCAAAAAAACAAAATTGAATGACTGTTTTCAGAATGCCAAAAAATTGCTTATTTTAATTTATCCAGGTATGTAATTTAATTTGTTCAAGTATGTAACTGTACCTTTGTGTTACTGACTAGTGAGTACTGATAAATTGTTTATATTTCTCTCTCCTACCTTCCACTATTATAATTATTATATTCATGGGGAAATTTTAAACCTGTGGGAGTCGTACAGTGCCTGGGAAATATAAGCCAATTAGTTTGATCCAAAGGGAAGGTAGCTTCAGTTCCTCAGATCAAGAGCCCTTCAACTGCATCAAGCCACCCCTTCCAAAGGTCTCCTACCTTCCACTGCATTTTTCTAAGCCTTTCCCAAGTGCTGAGTGCAAAATGGGCTTTATTAAAAAAATTACAATGAGAATTATGCCTATGTTGTTCCATACCTATATCTATAATATTTTTTTTCTAAATCAATATTTGATTTGGTTTTAATTTGAAACTATTATGTTTGACATATTGTACATTACACATGCCTCTATACCATATACTATACAGTACAGACTCTTCATTGCACAATCAGTGATATTAAATCTAAAATGAGGTGTACAACCAATGCCAAAATTCTCACCAAAAGCTCGTAGATTTCCTGCTTGGAAGTCTTCCATCAGCTGCAGGAGCCCTTGTTCAATCTGCCGCACATCCGCCACATCTGCCAGGAAGGTGTGATGCTGGATTGGCCGATCCATCTTACAGGAGTCTAAACCTCCCCTCATTTTGAGCCCTAGTCGCAATACTGGCCTGCTAAGCAATGCTTTGGAGCCTGAATTCCCTCTGCTTCTTTCACCGCCTCTGCTAGGTAGTGTAGGAAATGCAATTCCTAGGCTCTGTGGGGTGATACGTGCACTCCCTGAACCAGTTTGGGTATAATTTGGCATAGGTCTAAAATGACCTGCTGCCCTAGAGTGGGCTCCATGTAATTTAACATCTTTGCCTGGCTGGGATCTACTGGAAGGTATTAAGGTACTTTCCATGTCTCCAGTCTTAGACTCTGACTTAGGTATTTGGATTCCCTTATTACCTGACCCCATAGATACAACAAAGCCAGGAGAAGGTAGAGAGTACTCCTTTTGGTGTAGCATGTCTATGGATTGTGAGAAGCAGGCAACGATGCAAGGGCAGGCGCGGAACAAGCCATGCAGACCAGTGCGGGGAAACAAATTGTCAGTAAGCCAACTAAATACATATATTAGCAGTAACAATGAGAAAGCAAAAAAAATTGAGTAATTTACAGAAATATAAGCAATAAAACATTTATTTATCGATAATTCATCACAATACTGTACTGTACAAGAAAAACTAAGAAAATAACAATTTTACCTAACTTGAAAATAGTAAGATATGATAAGGTGTCATAGGTTTTCTATAAAATTTAAAAATTTATAGCCTCGTTAACTGGTAACAATAATGAACTAGAATTGTTTTCGAAACTAGGCTCACAGTCACACGCATATGTCTGTGATGTTGAAAATATTTAAACTACCATTTTAATAAAGGATCTCTAACAACTGATGCACAAAACTCTAGAATGAACATAATACCAACAAATAACCTTCCATCAAATGGTAACTAATGTAGTTTGGATTACAGAGGTTAGTTATATACTTTATGGCTGTTCCTACATGTTTACCAAAAATTTTAATTCTTCTGAAACATACATGTACAAAATATGTACTGTTCTATATAATAAGAAATTCATATGTGGATACTATATAAAGCACTTTTAACACAGGTGATATTCGACAAGTATTCCAAAACATTCAAATATATGAAAATTCAATATCTAACACACTAAAGCATTCTATACATGCTAACTTCATGGAAGTTATTTAGAAGTTCAAAGAATAACAAACAATAATAGGGAAAGTTTAACCAATAAATAGTATTTTTGGTATCACAGATGTTCACTTTAAGAAAAACATAGGGAATATGAAAGGTTTAAATGAAAAAAATATCGATATTTGCTTTCTCTCTCACTGATGACTATTTATACTACAAGATAATATTTTCAAAGACAGAAAAAACTACCTCTGGGTTGAAGGAAACTAAGTATAGGCTGTTGACACCTCCATGCAATGCTTTAGGTGTGATAAAAATCCATATTTCTATACCATTCCCTAAATCTGTGTGATTAAAGGTAATTATAGTTACATGGGAAAGTGCTAAACCCATGATGATCATACAGCACCTGGACAATGAAAGGTACTCAGGTTTGATCCAAGTAAGAGAATGGTAGCTTTAACTCCTTTGTTCAAGCCCTTTACCAGCATCAAGGAACCTTTGTCCTTGAAGAGCTTAAAGGTAAAATAACGACATTTTTTAACCATTTTCTGAAAATTAAATAAGTTGATTGACGGAGTCACTTATTTCCCAGAATTGTGCAATGAATTCTTTGTACCTGCAATGCACCTGGGTGATCAGCACCACTGTTATGAAATGGGCCTTAACAGATCATTTTTTATTTTAGCTACACCAACACTGTACTGCTGAGTGAGTTAACCTTTATCATAAATAAAGGAAAATGACCCAGAAATGCCATTTGGAAGCACTATTTATCATTTAGTGTTAATGGTAAGAGAATTCTGGGCAGTTCCTCTTCCTTCCTGCAAAATGGTATACAGGTTATTTCTTCTTCTTCTTTCAACAAACCGGCCGTATCCCACCGAGGCAGGGTGGCCCAAAAAGAAAAACAAAAGTTTCTCTTTTTAAATTTAGTAATTTATACAAGAGAAGGGGTTACTAGCCCCTTGGTCCCAGCATTTTAGTCGCCTCTTACAACACGTATGGCTTACGGAGGAAGAATTCTGTTCCACTTCCCCATGGAGATAAGAGGAAATAAACAAAAACAAGAACTAGAGAGAAAATAGCAGAAAACCCAGAGGGGTGTGTGTGTGTATATATATGCTTGTACATGTATGTGTAGTGTGACCTAAGTGTAAGTAGAAGTAGCAAGACGTACCTGAAATCTTGCATGTTTATGAGACAGAAAAAAGGACACCAGCAATCCTACCATCACGTAAAACAATTACAGGCTTTCGTTTTACACTCACTTGGCAGGACGGTAGTACCTCCCTGGGTGGTTGCTGTCTACCAACCTACTACCTTTACAGGTTATTTACAAACTGGAAAGTGTCAGTGTATCTTTCTTAGCAAATAAAAAATTGAGAGAGGGGCAAGGGCTGAACCCTGGATGAGGCATGATGTATAGGTCAACCTAACAATAAATACTGTACACAGATTATTGTGGGTTGCATCCTGGGAAAGGACCTACCATAAAAAAAAAGCCACACTGCTTGGTTTTTAAAGATCATAATGGGCTACTAACCCTTCAGGATCACTAATCTAAATAAAGTTTTAGTCCTCATAATAACAGTAAAACTATAATCACTACATCTTTATTTACTAACTTTAGTCCTTCATGGACTGACTTTACAATCTCGTGCTGTCACTGAGATCATTGATAGTATTAATCGCACAGTATAGAAATTATGATTAAATTTTAGATTTGATTTGGTACATGCTGTATGCTCATATTTTCTGGATAAAAATAAGTCAAGTTTTGTGGACTTTTCTTTTGTTTTACAATTTTTTCCCTTCTAATTGTATTAATAGAAATAATTGATTTTTTCTTGTAAATTTCAATCAACAGTATAACTATTTGATACCTGTGCAGTACACTTAAAGTGAGTTGCAAAAATAGGTCAAAAATGTGGAATTTTCCCTTCAGTTCTAATTATGTATTATTGTATGTATAAAAACAATGATAGAATTTTGAGTGTTTCAAAATCATTCATTTTTTTTGGTACATAATCACTTGGTGTGTATCTGGTAGGCTCATCTTTATTTTCATATAAAGTAGATCATTTAAATAGTGACATTTTGTTTTTGGAAGATATTAAACAAAAACAGTGCCAGCTTCAGGCACTCAAAGAGTTCTTTCACAGATTTTTCATACTGGCAGGTCACCAGAAACATTACTTGTGTGACTATGCAATTTTCACTGCACATTTGAAAGACCAACAAAATACAGAAAATAAAAATTTATGCAACAGGTTATCCTCATATACTGTACATGTGAGAGCACTAAACCTGTAGAATGTCATATAGTGCCTGGGGAACTGGGAGTAAGTAATTAGGAACACCGATCTAAGATGAAGGCAGATTCAATTCCATAGATAAAAAGTCCCTCACTGAACTCGAGGTACCCCTGTTTCCCTAAAGGGTATTTGACCAGAGAAAATGGCGACTGAAAAAACTTATGGATAACTTACATTTAAATAAGAAGACACAAACATAGTCACATGATCTACAGATATAAAAGCCTAATCCCAAGAAGTGTGGTAAATGAACTCGTTGAATGAACTGTTTATAAGTTGATAATTAAAAGCAAAGATGTGTGGTAAATGCATTCACTGAATGGTTTATAAAGTGATAATTAAAAACAAAGATGTGTGGTAAATACACTCACTGAACAAACTATTTATAAAATGATAATTAAAAACAAACTTGAAGAAAAATCAGTACTATAAAATGCAGGAATAAAGTACAGCTCTAAAATTAAGTGCTTATAAATATGCTGCAAAATCCTAATGCATGAAACTAGCGAGTATCCACACCTTCCCTACCTATACACATTAATTAACAAGCATATACTTTACATGCTTATGCATGAAAAAAAAACTGACTCTAAAAAGGAAAAGCTTAGTTCTTTTCCTCAAAAAAAAATTTTTCCCAAATATTTGTTATAGTATAAGACAGTGTGTACAGTCTTCCCTTCAAATTCGAGGGGTCACATTCCTAGGGGTCCATGAAACTAAAAACTTGAAAAAATGCAAAATCGAGTCTGAAAACAAAGGTGATTTCGGGTTCACCCCACTTTGTGTTTCAAAAATATACACCTTATCTGGTTAATAGGGCTTTCGTATGACATAGCAGCCAGAAAAGAGAGTTTTGGGGTATTCAAGAGCCTGGCCAAAAAAGTTAGATAAATGAATCTATTCTCTGTTTGCCCTCAGTAAGAAAAGGAAAATCAAAGCCCACAAATAAAGAAGTTTTAAAAATTTAGAGGGAAACTGTTTTTCTAAAGTAATCTTTACATCACACAAGCACTATGTCCAAAAACACCTAAGATAACAGGGATATCTTGCTACTCCTACAAAACACTTTGGTCACACTTCACAGACACGCACTGCATATTATATATCATACATCTAGGTTTTTTTCCCCTTTTTTTAAAAATAGCTTTTTCTTTTTTATTTCTTCTTTTGCCCATGGGGAAGTGGAAAAGAATCTTTCCCCCTAACCCATGCGTTCGTATGAGGCGACTAAAATGCCGGGGGGAATGGGTAAAACCCCCCTTTTCCGTATACAATTACAAAAAAAAAAGAAAAAACTTTTTAAAACTGGTTCTTAAAAGTGCGTGGATGTAGTGCGGATACAAGAAAAGAGATTGCGATGTTATGAAAGAAAAGAAGTTGGATTCCCGGCCCTAAGCAAACAAAGCTGAAGGGGGTAGGAGAGTTTCAGTGGGGGGAAATAAATGGGATTAAATTGGAGTATCTGAGAGAGTTTAGAGCAAAGGAAGGGGTTAGCAGTAATGTTAAATGATCAGTTATGAAGGAGAAAAGAGAATTGATTGCTAAATTGCAAGATTTGTGTTATAGAAATGTGATGCTAGAATGTCTAATCGTGTATGCACCTGAAGAAGAATGCATGGGAAGAGTGAGCATTTGGGAGATGTTAAGACTGAAATGAAAGGACTTTGAATCTAAGTGAGAGAGAATGGTAGGTACTTTGAATCTAACTTTAGCAGAATTTTAGAGAGTTGTCGTGAGAGGTTAAGGTATATAGGCATGTTTAAATGATATGGGAGCCCTTTGATTGCACACTTTTTATAAATGGATTGTTATATGTAATACTGCATTTAAGAAAAAGAGATAAGTTAAAATAGATTAGCAGGCAAATTGAATTAGTTGTGAATGTATGTAGATAAAGACTGTTGATAGACTTCAGGATGTAAATTTTATAAGCATTGGAAGATATTTAAATTCATTTATAGTTAAAGAGTAAAAGAGTGGTACAGAAAAGATCAGGTATAAGATGTAAGGTTAAAAAAAGGAGGAGTTAGGGAGGTGGCCAAAAGCTATTGAGGAAGATGGGCTTAAATGAGGATAGGAATGGGGTAAGAAGAGGTATGGGGCAGGTTCTCCAAATTTATTTAGGTTCACAAAGTTATGGGTACAGAAAGTGGTCCGGGAGAGAGGGATTAGGTGGAAAGATGATGTAAAGAGAGAAGTAAGGGAAAACAGTTGGATGTGAGAAGTTTATAAATAGAAGTTAAGAGAAAGTATGATGGAAAAAGAGCAAGGTAGTGAGTGGTAATTAAAAAGAGAGCAAATGAGACAGTGGTATGTATCGTAAAAATTTTGTTGAATAAAAAAAGTTTTGGAGTGGATTACAAGTTAAGAAAGCCTAGAGAATGCATGTTTGCAGTTAAAATAAGGAGATTTATAAAGGAAAGTTAAGGTATTGTTAGCAATGGAAAATATTTTGAGGGAATTGGTTAATTTGATGAGGATATGTAGGTACATAATCTGTAAGATTTTGTGGTTTACGGGAAGGAGTACAAATTTGTAGGAGTCGATAGCGTTTTGAGTGTGTGGGGCAACTTCTGAGGAAGTAGTAAATGAAGGGTGGTAAGGCTACGGAAATGTGGATAAGATAGAATGTAAATGGTTGGGGATTTTATCTTCGAGGTAGTGATTGTTTTAATAAATGTAGAAGAGGGTAGTTACTTTGGATTGTAGGACATGATGTTCTTTGTGGATAAAGCAAGGTAAATGAGTGTGCAAAATTTAGTGGATAGTCTGTTGGTACCTGTATAAATGTATGGTTAGAGTTTTCATTGAAAGATTAAGAGTAAACGAATAGGTTAGCAGTGAACAAGAGCTTTAGGAAAGGTAGGGGGTGTGGACCAGGTTTAATAAAGATATTTACAATGAAACATATTAATAAGGCTAAAGAGGTCTTTGTGGCATTTATGGATTGATTAAAGGCGTTATGACAGGGTGGATAGGGGGCATGTGGCTTGATGTTGCAATGTATGGTTAGGAGGTAGGTTACTAAGCAGTGAGATTTTTTTACGAGGAAGTGAGGCTCAAGTTCAGATGTAGAAAGAGGGAAATTTTTTCCCAGTAAAAGTAGGACTTAGACAAGGATGTGTGATGTCACGTGGTTGTTTAATTATTTATAGATGGGGTTGTAGGAGAAGTAATGCGAGGGTCTTGGCAAGAGGCGTGGAGTTAAAGAAAAAGAATCACACCCAAGTGGACTGAGTGCACAGTTTGCTCTTTGCTGATGACACTGTGCTCTTGGGAGATCTGAAGAAAGTTGACAGAGATTGGTGGATGAATTTGGTAGTGTGCAAAAGAAGAAAATTAAAGGTGAATACAGGAAAGAGTAAGGTTATGAGGTAAAAAAAATTAGGTGATGAAAGATTAATTCAGATGGAGGGAGAGAGTATGGAGGGTGAACGTTTCAGTATTTGGGAAGTGGAGGGGTCAGCGATCGGGTCTATGAAAAGATGAGGTGAAATCATAGAATTGATGAGGGAAAAATAGTAGTGGTGCACTTAGGAGTCTGTGGAGACAAAATTTGTCCTTGGAGGCAAAGGGGGAATGTATGAGAGATAGTTTTACCAACGCTCTTATATGGGTGTGAAGCTGGGCTGATGATGTTGCAGCGAGGAGAAGGCTGGAGGCAGTGGAGATGTCATGTCCTGAGGCAATGTGTGGTGTGAATTAATGCAGAGATTCGTAGTTTGAAGTTAGAGGAGTGCGGGATTACCAAAACTGTTGTCCAGATGGTGAGGAAGGGTTGTTGAGGTGTTCGGACATGTAGAGAGAATGGAGCGAAACAGAATGACTTCAGAGTGTATCAGTCTGTGTGGAAGGAAGGCGGGGTAGGGGTCGGCTTAGGAAGGGTTGAGGGAGGGTAAGACAAGAGATTTTGTGTGCGAGGGTTGGTTCAGCAGCATTTTTGAGCGTGTTTGATAGGAGTGAAATGGAGAAAAAAAGGTTTTTAATACTTGACGGCTGTTGGAGTGTGGAAAAGTAACATTATGAATGGATTCAGGAAAACCGGCAGGCCGGAACTTGAGTCCTGAGATGGGAAGTACAGTGCCTGCACTCTGAAGGAGGGGTGTTAATGTTGCAGTTTAAAAACTGTAGTGTAAGCACCTTTGCAAGACAGTGATGGAAGTAAAAAATTAAGGAAGTTTTTTGGAAAAAGGGCTCGGGGGAATTTTAAAAAGGGTTAAGTTTTGTTTTAATTAAAAAAAGAAAAAAATGTGGGAAAATTTGGGAAAAAAAAATTATGATGGTTTTTTTAAAGTATAATTAAAACAAAGGGGGGGAAAATTTACATTCATGAAAATATAAAAAAAAATTTTTAAAAAAAACAAACGGGGAAGAAAAAAGTTTTAAAAATGAAAATTTTAAATTTTTCCCAAGCTCTAATTTAAGGGGGGGTTATAATTTGCGCAAAACTGGGGGCAGGGGAAAAGCATTCCCAAAATTTTTATTAATCAAAATTATTTAAGTTAAATGCGGGTTAAAAAAAGTTTCCAAGGGTGGGGGGTTTTTTTTCACAAAAAAGGGGCCAATATTCTTATAGTCGTTAAGGAAGGGGGGGGGGGGGCCCTTTTTTAAATTAGGGGGGGTAAAAAAAATTTTTGGGTCAGGGTTTGACTTAACTTTTGGACGGTTGAAAAAGGAAATGGAGCAAAAGGTTTTTATACTTACGGGGTTTAATGTGGCAATCATAAAGGGGCGGGGAAAAAAAGGAGGGGGATTGACCCCTGGAGAAAGTAAGTTGAATCAAAATTTTGTTGCATTTTAAAAATGTATTTAAAGCCCCCCAAATAAAAGGGGGTTAATTTTTTTTTGGCCCCCCCCCTGTTTTGGGGGGGGTTATTAATTAAAAAAAAAACTATGTCCAGCATTTAAAAGGCATCTAAATGAAACACAAATTATGGAAATAAGCATAAAAAAGGCAAAGGGGATTTTTACTTAATGCTTTTTGCTGAGACATGTTTGGGCCATCGGGGGTTTGCTTATTTGTTTTCATTTCTCTGCAAGAACTAAAACTATCGGGGTTATTCACACTTGAAACACATTAAAAATAAAATTTCACTTTTTTTTTTTTTTTTTCTGTTAACTTGTATTGTTGTGACAATTCACTGTTTTTAAATACAAACATAATCTAAAGCAAGAAAAAATTTTTTTGAAGTAAATTTTTCATAGCCCCGAATCCTACCCCATAATTTTAACCTGTGTCATGGCCACAAGTGAAGAAAATTTTTCAGACTTAAGGGAAAATATTCCCATCATTTATCCCAAAAAAGAAATGCTGGGTTCTTAATCAGGCAAGCTTCCTATAGGGAAAGTGGCACCACTCAAAAAAGAGGGTAGTTTAAAATCCCAAAAGCATTTGAATGTGTAGAGCTTTTAGCTTTTGGTGATAAAAAAAAATTAAAGACAAAAGAGAAACAATGATCAAATTTCAAAAAAAAAAAAAAACAACTACATGACGAAACACACAACACAAATTTTATTACCCCCAACTTAAAATT